GGTGTTGGGAATTCATCCCAGGTCTTCTAGAAAAGCAGCCAGTGCTCTCAACTCCTGAGCCATCACTTCAGCTGCCTATAGAGTAGATTTTAAAGATGTTATTAACCTAAATGCAAAAGGAATAAGAAGATGTACTTGACATGCTAAGGTACTTAGAGAGGTCCTAAACACCTTCTGAACAGATACTTGAAAGATACTGGTAATACTGGTCAAATTTAAAAAACAAAAAGTGTAGGGTTAAGCCCAGCCTTAGGGGGCGTGTCTGCCTCGGGCTAATGTTTACCTATAAATCTGCCGGTTGTGCGCCCAGCCCAGCTGCCCCTTCTGCTTTCCTGGTCTAAGCAGGAACGGTGGTTCTGTAAGTCTAAATCCCCATTAAAGCTGTATATATTTTTTACAATCTGTCTGCATTCATTTACGCCGCTACAAAAAAGTTTTTAAGATCTGTACAGCTTAGCTCCCTTAAGTGTACACTACTATTACCAGAGTTATAAAAATTGCATGGACTTAGCATGTATGAGGCCCTGGATTCAATCTCTAGCCACCCCCATACACCCAACCCAAATAAAAACAAAATGAATCATAAAAGCTATACAATTACAAACTCCTTCTGGGTAACACAAGCATGCGCCTGCTCACTCGCTAACTCAGTATGGATTAGGCACTGTATAAAGATCTGCATCTTCCCCTTACTCTGCAAAACTCATCTAGCCTCTACTGGTGATGCTACTGATTACCTGGTTCTTCTGCTCTAGGGAGAAGTCATGGTGGACAAGCCGCTCACTAGTGCCAGTCTCTGGCAGCTTCTGTGCCCCTGCAGCAGCAAACAGCAGCCAGCCATCTCTCTAGGATGGTTCAGCTGCTGGCATTGATTGAGCTGCTGTCAGGCCTGCTGCTATTCCAGAGGCAGCTGCTGCCACTTTTCGTCGCTGCTCCCACTGACCACAAACCTTGCAGTTCCATCTCTTCTTAGTTATCAGTTGATGTGGGATTCCCCTCTGTATGCTCACAGCATACAGAGTTTTATTACCATTGGTTAATAAAGAAGCTGCTTTGGCCTAAGTGAGGTGGGAAATTCGAGTGGAGATATATAAAGAGGGTAGGTGGAACCAAGGAGACACCGTGTAGTGGCCAAGGGAGGACACCAGAACGTTACTAGGCCACAGACTCGTGGTGATACACTGATTAATAGAAATGGTTAATTTAAGATAAAAGACCTAAACCATTGCCCAAACAGTGTTGTGATTAATATAGTTTCTGTGTGATTATTAGGGTCTGGGCAGCCGGGAAACCAACATGCAGTCTCTGTTTACGTGGCACCCACCCTCTGGCAGGGATCCACATAAGACCTAAAGTCACGCACAGTTTTGCTTCTACAGCTTAGCATGTGCCAGCTGCTCTATCACTGCTGTTTGTTTCTGATGCTTCCTGCATGCTACCAGCTCAACTCAGTACCAAAAGCCCACAAGAAAAGACCTCTCCAGGGAAGTCTTTCATTGTGCCTGATGTTGCAAAACCAGATACATTAGTTACCTTTATAACTGGGACAAAACAGCTGGAAAACAAAACTTAAGGAAGGATGCCTTTCTTTTGACTCAGGGAGTACAGTCCATCATGGCGGAGGCAGCTGGTCACATAGTGTCTGCACTCGGGAAGTGGAGAGGTAGGAATGCGGGTGTTCAGCTCATTTCTCCGTTTTATCCAGTCCACGACCGCCCAGGCCATGAATTGGTGCCATACATTGAATCATCCGCACCCCCTCAAAGAGAGGTATGTTTCCTTACTGATTTTAAAACCAGTCAAACTGACAATTGTGGCAGTTTGAATGAGATGGCCCCCATAAACCTCAGGCATTTGAATATTTGCTTCCCAGTTGGTAACTGGGAAGAATTAGAAGGTGTGACCTTGCTGGAGGAAGTGTGCCACTGGACATGGGCTTTGAGATTTCAAGTTACACCATTTGAAACTAGCCTTCTGTATTTCCTGATTGTGGATCAAGATGTGAGCTCTCAGCTGCTGCTCCAGCACCATGCCTGCCATGATGGACTCTTATCCCCTGAAACCATAAGCTCAAATAAACTCTCCCTTGAGCGGCCTTCATCATGGTATTTTATCGCAGCAGTAGAAACATATAACTAAGATAGCAGGGAAATTAAGCTATCATACGGGGGAGGCAGCACTGGAGGGTGTCTACCATCTCACTTACCTGGTGAGGTCAACAGCAAATCTCACATGCAAATGAAGGTTTGCATTTACACCAGTAACAGAAAACCTTAGTGGCTTATATTTGTACCAATCACAGCAGTCCCTCTGTGTGACTCCTCTGACCTGCGTGAAAATGGCTTCAGTCACCTAAAGCTCAGTGAGGTTTGTGATAACAAAATGTCTGGTACAATCTGAAACAGTCTTGGCTGATGTTGTACCTTCCCACACTGTCATTTTAGATGCTGGAGGGAACACGGCAAAGCTTGACTGATATACCTAAAGACAGCAATCATTCTGCAGTTTTAGCAGGTTACCAGTGGGGTGTTCAAAGGCCTGGATTGGTAGACAGGCAATTCAGCTGATTGTGGGACTGACAGTTCTTTTGCTCACTGCAGCCAGAGAAGCAAGGGCGAGCTTTCGAGTACCTGGGCAGCACCTACAGGATTGAGGTCATACACACACATGAACATGTACATACGCATACATACACACAACTATATAGGATGGAGATACAGCTCAGGGGTACAGTGTCTGCCTACCATTCAAGACCTTAGATTCCATCCTCGACACTACAGAACAAGTCTAGACTAGGGTACTGACCTGATGTTTTATTTATTTATTTTTTTTAATATTTTGTTTTGCCAGGTAGTGGTGGCATACACCTTTATTTATTTTTTTTAATTATTTATTTACTTATTATGTATACAATATTCTGTCTGTATGCCTGAAGACCAGTTGAGGGCGCCAGACCTCTTTACAGATGGTTGTGAGCCACCATGTGGTTGCCGGGAATTGAACTCAGGACCTTTGGAAGAGCAGGCAATGCTCTTAACCACTGAGCCATCTCTCCAGCCCTGACCTGATGTTTTAAATAGGCTATCAGATCCCGTTCAACGCCAAAGTGCTGTGGATGCCCACGTCATATCAGTGAACCAAATGAAGTCCTCACTTCTAAGATGCATCAGGGAAATTAGACAGTTAATACACTATTTAATGTCGGGTACATCAAACCCATGGAGAGAAACAGTGCTAGAAGATGGTGGAAAGGTCCCTTACAAAGCAATATTGATGTCTTCAAGGGAATTATGAACATCTAGGTATCTAGGGCTGGGAATTGCAGAGGAATATCTAATCTGAGGTTGCAAGGGCAACCCCATGCCTAGAATGCTCTAGGAAGGGAAAGCTGCATATGGAACAGGAAGAGAGCAGAATGGTGGGAGGGATCATGTCAGGAAGACTCAGGTGAGACACGCAGCCTGCACAAGTCACAGGTCTGATTATTTTTAGGGTCTCGTGTATCCCACACTGGCCTCAAACTTACTATGTAGCTGAGGAGATCTTAAATTTATAGTGCTGGTCTCTCAATCTGCCCAGTGTGCTAGCTAATTTTACGTCAACTTGGCATAGCTAGATGAATCTGACAGGAGGTAACCTCAATTGAGAAACACCTCCAAAAGACTGGGCTGTAGGCAAGCCTGTAAGGCATTTTCTTATTTAGTGATTGATGGGGGAGGGCGCAGCCCATTGTGGATGGTGCCATCCCTGGGCTCGTGGTCCTCAGTTCTATAAGAAAGCAGGCCGAGCAAGCCATGAGGTGTGTACCTCAGGAGTACGCAGCACCCCTCCACGGCCTCTGCATCAGCTCCTCCTCCAGGTCACTGCCCTGATGGAGTACCTGGCCTGATTTCCTTTTATGATGAACTGTGATGTAGGAAAGTAAGACAAATAAACCCTTTCCTTCCCAAGTTGCTCTGGTTACGGTTTCATCACAGCAGCAGTGACCCTAACTAGGACACTCACTGCTGGAATTAGAACATGTGCCCCATGCCTGGTTTGTGTGGTGCTGGGAATTGAACCCAGGACTTCATGCATACTAGGCAAATACTCTACCAACTGAACTACATCCCCAGCCCAAGTTAGGCGTTTAAAAGTGACATAATAATGCTACATTTTAAGTGTAGTCCCGAAGCTAGGACCTGATGTTAAAGGACTCACCCACCATGCAGAAAGGCTGTGGATTTGATGCATGCCCAGCCTTAAGGGGGAAAATTCTAGACTTTGAGGGTCTAGACTTAATCAGGGTCTCTATTGCTGCAAAATACCATGGTCAAAAAGCAAGTTGGGGAGGAAAGGGTTTATTTGGCTTACACTCTCGTATCACTGTTCATCACTGAAGGAAGTCAGGATGGGAACTCAAACAGGGCAGGAACCTAGAAGCAGGACTGATGCGGAGGATGCGGAGGCCATGGAGGGGAGAGCTGCTTACTGGCTGGCTCCCCATAACTTGATCAGCCTGCTTTCTTATACAACGTATGACCCTGACCATCACCTAGCCAATGTTCTTAAGACTCAGTTACTCATGGCTGAGATTACAGGCATGCACCAACACACTGGTTTATGGGGATGGGGATGGAACCAGGACTTCAAGCAGACTAGGTAATCACACTACCAACTAGCCACATCTCCAGCCCCTAGGATTTTCTTGTTGTTTTATAATTTTTCGTAAAAGTTATCTGAAGTTAAAATAAAGCCCAAACTTATATTAAGATTATCTTTCATCAACTGGGCAGTGGTGGTGCATACCTTTAATCCTAGCACTTAGGAGGCAGAGGCAGGTGGATCTCTGTGAGTTCAGGGCCAAGCCTGGTCTACAAAGCAAGTTCCAGGACAAGTAGAGCTGTTACAAAGAGAAATCCTGTCACAAAAAAAAAAAAAAAAAAAAAAAGATTATTTTTAGTCATTAAGGGCTGGGAATGAAACGGCCGCTATTTAAAAAAAAAAAACACATGGACCAATTGTAAATACAAACAATATATTTTATTTCATCCCTGAAAACAATGACAAAACCAGAAATGTTCACAACTCTTCGAGACTGAACAAGGGCTTCAGATTTCACCTAGTGGACAATAATTTCTTCACATAAAGGGACAGGGAAGACATTTCAGACAGCTATCTTTCAAGAAACAATATATTCTTATACTTATTTTAACAAAATAATCACCGCTACTATTTGTGGTAGCATATTATAACAATGAACAATATCGAAAACTAAGTTCAATTTAGTCTAAATCTAGAGGCTAACTGCAGTTCAGCCATCATTATATAGAATAAATACTACAAAATATAGAATACTATATAGCAATTGGATTTGCTACAAAAGATATTTAAATAAAGACATGTTTTGTTCTATATTAGAGTTAATCAAATTAAGATTTCTTGTGCTGTATACAGTAGCTGTTTCCCTAAAAAGATAATCAATCTTCATAATTTATACTTTAATGCTCTTAATTTTGCAAAGGGGTCATTTATATAAAAGAGTAGCTAACCTGGCATCTCCTAGCACAGGATACTCTTACATCACATCAACTAACATTAACATATCCAAGCAGCTTTGTGCAGCACAAATATGTTTATTATATACATCTGACTAAAGTCCTCAATCTCTTCCTTCTCCCGCCAATATAACCAAAGCAACATTTACCACCACATGGAAACAATGCACTTTCCTAATAGCAGAAACAGTCACGGACTAAATATTTTCCTTTATTTTAGACAGGGTCTGCTCTTGGCCAAGATGGCAGTGAGCTTGCAAGTCCCCTGCCTCAGCCTCCTGAGTATCCATGACTACAAGCATATGACATTGGAATTTACTTTCAAATCAACAATCATGATTGTGAAAAATCATGCACATTTTACTTTCCATCATAAAAATATGTGTTATTATGCAGAATATATGTAAGAAATTTTTAAGTATGAGATTAGAGATTACTCTCATCTCTATTAAATAGTCCCAAATGGTTAGGCTATGGACAGTGGCTGCTACCCATTTCAAAATTATACTCTTACAAATGCTATTTTTAAAAATATACAATTAACCTTCAGTTATTTTGAAGGATAGTGCAAATGAAAACATTCTTTGGGTCTATTTTAAAACATGATTTCCAACATGATACTTCCTTTTCCTGCTCATAATCTGAGTAACAAAATATAGTATTGGAACTAAGCATGTTTCTACTCACAGGGACATCATGAGGGCAGATGACAGAATGATTCAGGAACTTTATCGTCCGCTTATCTGAAAAACATGTTATATACTTAAATAAATATTTTATAGAAAGGATTCCATGTCTTTCTAGTGTTTTTGTTTCTTCCTGATCTCAAATACCAAAGGATGGCCTCCCTGCTTACCACATCAACTGTGTTACCAAAGTCCCATTAAATGTACAGAACAGCATCGAAGAGCTTTGCGGGAAAGCCAGCTAATAACGCCTGTGCATCTATATACAGAATTAGCGTCCTACGAGCCCAGCGAGCTCCTTGGAAATGTGTGGAGCTTTTATTGTCAAGTATTACTCTGTCCTAGGCAGCAGTGTAAGAGGTGTCCTGCGATGGATGTATCCCACAGTGGTGTCAGCCCTGCAAGGTGGCTTCACTGCTATCTGACACTGCCGGATGCACTGGTCCTTTTGTTGGTGGTTACTGGCACCAAGTTCCCACTGGTGCCGTTGGTAGTATTGGCTGCTGAGCCATTCACAACGATATAGTCAACCTTGTTCTCCAGCTTCACCAAGCGCTGCAAAATGTCATCTAAGAGGACTGCAATCGTTCTCTTCAGGTCCGCTAGGGGAAAAATGGGAATAAATCATATTAAATAGCAATAGAGCACTTGATATTTGTGTCTTCACAGTTTAAGGGAAAGAGGCAAACAATTATCAGGACATCTGAAAGAAAACATGCTCCAGAGAACATACTCACACCCCAGACAGGGAAAGCTAGCAAGAGAGCTAAAACACACCAGAACTCACCCTCTGAGAGCAGATTGGAAGTCAGGCTCAAGACATCAGGGACATTTAGACTGTCTCTCACTTTTAAAAAAAGGCATTTTCTTCTATGTGTATGCATGCTTTATTTGAATGTATGTCTATGCACCATGTGTATGCCTGGTGCCCAGAGGCCAGGAGAGGGTGCTGGAATCCATAGACTGGAGTTAAAGATAGTTGTGAACCCCATGTGGGTGCTTCCAGGACCTCTGAAAGAAAAGCCAGTGTTCTCATTGTCTGAGCCACCTCTTGACACACTATGCTGAGTTTCTTGAGGAGTGTATACAGAAGGCTTGGACCAGGCAGGTAAAGTACTCGTAAAGGCAGATAAAGAGAGCTATGGAAACAAATCAACCAAATGCAAGCAAGACACACGAACCCTCAGACTGGAACAAGGATGGGGAGCCAGGGCATAGGGTGACCTGCTCAAAGGACTGTTCTGATCTAAGTTACTCTAGAGTTTGATACAGTGACTTCCAGGTTTGCCTGGGTGACTCCAGGTCACCAAGCAGTCCTTGACTCCATCAAGAGGATCTTGTTTGTGTGTAGAAACTACAACCTGGCCATCAATAACCACAAGACATTGACCATTAACTTCTCCATATGAGCAAAAAGATACACACCAGACCCAAGAAGAATTCAACACCCTCAACCTGGGTGCAATAAAAAGAGAAAAAGAGGCATCAGAGGGCTGGAGAGATGGCTCAGCAGTAAAGAACACTGGCTGCACAAACAGCATGAAATATCTTGGAGTAACTCTAACCAAACAAGTGGAAGACTTGTATAATAAGAACTTTAAATCTTTGAAGAAAGAAACTGAAGAAAACACCAGAAAGTGGAAAGATCTCCCATGTTCTTCGGTAGGTAGAATTAACATAGTAAAAATGGCAATCTTACCGAAAGCAATCTACATATTGAATGCAATGCCCAGCAAAAACCCAGCAAAATTTTTCACACACCTCGAAAGAACAGTACTCAACTTCATATGGAAAAGCAAAAAACCCAGGATAGCCAAAACAATCCTGTACAATAAAAGAACTTCTGGAGGCATCACAATCCCTGACTACAAACTCTACTATAGAGCTACAGTACTGAAAACAGCCTGGTACTGGCATAAAAACAGACAGGAGGACCAATGGAACTGAATCAAAGACCTGGATATTAATCCACACCCTTTCAAACATCTGATCTTTGACAAAGAAGCAAAAAATATCAAATGTAAAAAAGAAAGCATATTTAACAAATGATGCTGGCATAACTGGATATCAACACGTAGAAGAATGAAAATAGATCCATATCTATCACCATGCACAAAACTCAAGTCCAAATGGATCAAAGACCTCAACATAAAGCCAGCCACACTGATCCTCATAGAAGAGAAAGTGGGAAGTACACTTGAACGCATTGGCACAGGAGACCACTTCCTAAATAGAACCCCAGCAGCACAGACACTGAGAGCAACAATTAATAAATGGGACCTCCTGATACTGAAAAGCTTCTGTAAAGCAAAGGACATGGTCAACAAGACAAAACGACAGCCTTACAGAATGGGAAAAGATCTTCACAAACCCCCACATCAGACAGAGGTCTGATCTCTAAAATATACAAAGAACTCAAGAAATTGGTCATCAAAAGAACACATAATCCAATAAAAAAAAAAAAGGAATACAGACCTAAATAGAGAACTCTCAACAGAGAAATCTAAAATGGCTGAAAGACACTTAAGGAAATGTTCAACATCCTTAGTCATCAGAGACATGCAAATCAAAACAACTCTGAGATTCCATCTTACACCTGTAAGAATGGCCAAGATTATGCTGGAGAGGATGTGGGGTAAAGGGAACACTTCTGCATTGCTGGTGGGAATGCAAGCTGGTACAGCCCCTTTGGATGTCAGTGTGGTGATTTCTCAGAAAATTAGGAAACAACTTCTCAAGACCCAGTAATACCACTTTTGGGTATATATCCAAAGGATGCTTAATCGTGCCACAAGGACATGTGCTCAACTATGTTCATAGCAGCTTTGTTTGTCATAGCCAGAACCTGGAAATAACCTAAATTTCCTTTGACCGAAGAATAGACAAGGAAAATGTAGTACATTAACACAATGGAGTACTACACAACAGAAAAAAATAACGACATCTTGAATTTTGCAGGCCAATAGATGGAGCTAGAAAACATCATATTGAGTGAGGTAACCTAGACCCAGAAAGACAATTATCACATGTACTCACTCATAAGTGGTTTTTAAACATAAAGCAAAGAAAACCAGTCTACAAATCACAATCCCAGAAAACCTGGACAACAATGAGGACCTTAAGAGAGACATACATGGATCTGATCTACATGGGAAGTAGAAAAAGACAAGATCTCCTGAGTAAACTGAGAGCGTGGGGACCTTGGGAGAGGGTTGAAGGGGAGGGGAGAGAGAGGCAGGGAGGGGAACAGAGAAAAATGTAGAGCTCAATAAAAATCAATTCAAAAGAACACTGGCTGCTCTTCCACAGCACCAGGGTTCAGTTCCCAGCACCCACATGGCAGCTCACAACTGTCTGTAACTCCAGTTCCAGAGTTTCTGACACCCTCATACAGATAGACCTTCAAGTGAAACACCAACCACTGCTTATAAAATAAAAATTAAAAATTATTTTAAAGAGAGAGAGAGAGAAAGAAAGAAAGAAAAAAGAGAGACATCTAACATTGAGACGATGATGATGGGCCCACCAGCTGTCCTCCAACCACCCATGTGTGTACCAAGACAAGACAAAGGACTCCAAACTGCTCCCAGCAATTTAGTGCAGGTTTCCCCACGGCTTGAGAAGACCCAATCAAACTGCTGTCCTGATCCGTCTAGACCCACCCCGCACCTGGACTGGATGGCCCAGTCCTATGGGCTTAGCTTCAGGCTCTCAGCTCCATCTCCAGCTCTTCCTTGGCAAGTTTCTCTGCAGCTTTTCCCACTGAGATGCTCAGAACCCGGTGTACTTTCAGGGACTGATTTCTATTAGCTCTCGCCTCAGCCTTGGTGAGGCCTCTCTGAACTCTGTGCCGCCAACCTTTTTCGGCTGTTCTCTCTCTCTCTGTGTGTGTGTGTGTGTGTGTGTGTGTGTGTGTGTGTGTGTGTGTGTTATTACAGAGTTATTAGCAATTAAGATTGGAATAAAAGATCTCATGTCTTCACTGTAAGGACAACTAGAACCATCTGGAAACCTGCAGCCAATGACACCAACAAAGCTTGTGAATTTACTGTCACTGCATGAATCCTGACCTCGTGGAAAGGCACACTGTGTCCACTGCTGACCCCGCACCTTCAGGAGACCTAGCCAGGGCGGCAGGCATGCCACCTACTTCTAACTGGAATTTCTTCCCGAAAAATGATGGTTACTATAATTCTTAACCTCTGTGGATGGTTAAGGGGGTTAAGTGGACTTTTCCTAGCTTGAAAAAAGAAAAAAAAAACCTGTTCTTTGTGAAACTGTCCCTTCAGGTTTTTCACTGGCATTCCACAGATATTAGGTAGTCAATAGTGGCAATTGATATTGTTATTTTTTGTTGCTCCTGGATCAAGAAGGCAGCTCAACCCTCAGTCTCTGCTCACCAGGGAAAACCATCAAACACTGGCTAAGAAAGTTGCTGGTGGCTGTGCTATTACCAGAAAAAGTATGAGACATAACAAAAAAAAAAGTGCATGCTGGACTTCATAAAAACTAAAACCTTGGGTCTTGAGAGGTGGCTCAGCAGTTAAGAACTCTAACTGTTCTTCCAGAGGACCTGGGTTCAATTCCCAGCAACCACATGGCAGCTTACAAGTGTCTGAAAATCCAGTTCCAGAGGATCTGACACCTTCACACCAATTCACATAAAATAAAGTTAAATACATCATTACAAAAAAACCCCACATCATCTCATGGGTATTCACAATTATTAAAAAACAAACAAACAAACAAACAAAAAAAACTAAAACCTTGCCGGGCAGTGGTGGCGCACACCTTTAATCCCAGCACTCAGGAGGCAGAGGCAGGTGGATTTCCATGAGTTTGAGGCGAGCCTGGGCTACAAGAGCTAGTTCCTGGACAGGCTCCAAAGCTACAGAGAAACCCTGTCTCAAAAAACAAAAACAAAAAAAAAAACCTAAAAGCTTTGGAGCTCCAAAGGATGCAGGGTCAGCAAGGCAGTTCAGCAGGTGAAAGCAGTTGCTACCAAACAATTCAAGCCTGATAACCTGAGTTCGATCCCTGGAATACACACAAAGGTAGAAACAGTGAAACGACTCCATGGGTCACATTTCCACGTATGTGCCTGCTGTAGCATCTACCCCCTCGAAAAAGAAATAAAAAGCAAAAAGACGTAGGACTCTCAGGTACTCCTCCAGCACCACTTCTGCCTGCACACCGCCATGCTCCCCACCATGATAATGGACTAAACATCTGAAACTGTAAGCCAGCACCAATGAAATGTTTTTCTCATGAGTTGCCATGGCCATGGTGTCTCTTCACAGCAATAAAAACCCTAAGACAGAAGTAGGAACCAGGGACTGAGGTATTGTTGTGATACTCCTGACCATGTTTTTGTTTGGAGGAATTTGGACTCTGGTACTTTTGATTAGAAAGCAGGTCAATGTTTAAGCACTGCTTAATGGGCCATACTAGTAGAAGCATGGAAGACAGAGGTGCTAAGAGTTATTTGAAGTGATGGGGGCTCGCTCAAGAGGTTTCAGAGAAGAAGAATTTTAGTATGTTGCCTAGAGATCATTTTTGTGATATTTTAGTGAAGAAAGTGGCTTGTCTGAAGAGCTGCATG